ATCTATCTATCTATCTATCTATCTATCAATCTATCATCTATCTATCTATCATCTATTCAAATTTGTGTCCTCAAATGCCCTTCGGTGTGAGTCCATCCACTGGTGTCTGGTCACCCTTAAAGGAGACTGACTCTCCCCCTCCCAATAGCCTTCAGTTGCCAATACTTCCTTAGGCAGGGCTGGGGTTTTTACTCACTTCCCCATATCTGTGCTGGGATTTTGTGTGGCCTGAGCTTATGTGGGACCTGGGCATGCTGTCACCACTGCTGTGAATTCATATGTGTAACTGCCAGTTATCTGAAAGCTCTGTTTCCTTGTGGTTATCCACCACCACCTCTGGCTCTTACAATCTTTCCATCCCCTCATCTGCAATGATCCCTGGCCTTGGGATAAACAACCTGTAGCCTCTTTTTATCTGCACATTGACCAGTTGTGGTTCTCTGTGCCAATAAACATCTGCTGGATAAAGAAGCTTCTCTGTTAAGAGTTGAGTCATGCATTAATCTGTGGGTATAACAATAAGTCATCAAGATTCAGTTTAATATTATGTTTGGTATAATAATAGTATTGGGCTTTGAAGGGATTTTTTTTATACTGTAAATAAAAACGTGGTAAAATGTAATGAAGCAAAATTTTATATCAGAGAGCACAGAATTTAACCATCTTCCACCTCCAGTGCATAACCATTGAGGGGTTAATTTTCCAGTGGTTTAAACTGTTCTGTGACAAATTACCTGCAAAAAGGCTATTTTCAGGACTAAATAAGATAATGCAAAGAATTCAAAATCTTTAGTAGAATGTATAAGTTAAATATGAAACAAGTATACCATTGAATACTATGATATAATTACAAGTAACTAACCAAAATTTCCTACACTACATAAATGAAGAAATAAAATAAAATGGGAATTACATCATAATGTTATGTATGTAAATTTAAAGACAAACTCAGGCCAAATCACTGTATATTTAAATGTATATTTCGGGGCTTGAGAGATGGCTCAGAGGTTAAGAACAGTGACTGTTCTTGCAGAAGACCCGGGTTCAAATCCCAGCACCCACATGGCAGCTAACAACTGTCCGTAACTCCAGTTCCAGGGGATCTGACAGCCTCTTCTCTTCTCCACGGGCATTGCATGACACGGGTGCACTTACCTATGTGCAGGCATAACACTCATATACATAAAATAACAATAATGAAATATTTTAAATGTGTATTTCTAAGTAATTATTAAGGTAACATACATGGAAGGGTATATATAATGAGTGGATATTCATGAAGATAGGGGAAGGAGTGCGAGTGTGGTGAAAAGCAGGGAAAAGAAGACAATGGTTGGTAGTGATTGGTGTCAGGAAGTGAGGAGTCATTCAAGTTTAGATATAAGGTCCAACAATATTGTGTTCAAGTTACTAAAAATAATTTGAGAAAGTGCATTTTATATACTCAGTAATTATTAGATAAATGTGTGTATGAGTTCAATAGTACAGATATTGAGAAAATATTTAAAGAGTCTCAGTATATAAATTATGGCTTGTGAGTGACAAAACCTTTTACTGATCATGGACTCTAGCTCACTCTTTTTCACAACAGAAAAATAGAACCTGAAACCCAAGGAAGGAAGAGAAGTAAGCTTCTGAAGTTTGCTCATCTAGTTAGTGCCTGTCATAGCGATGGCAACTATGGAGCCTGAACAATACTAAGAGGGCCTTCCTGAGGCCAGCGCATCACTGGCTGGCTCCTGATGCTGGAGTGGCTTGGGAGGTCTCTCTTCCACAATTCACTGCTGATAAGAGCTTGAGAAGCCTCAAGAACAGCTTTCATTAGTCCTTCCTTGGAACTGTGTGCTGCTTGTATCTCAACACAGGCACCATGATTTTATAGATGCCCAGGCGTGCTTGGAGCCTCATTTCAAGTTCAAAACCCATTTACAGGTTCCAGTGGAATTAGTCCTTGACTTCAAAATGGGGAAATACAACATGGATTCCCCTTAAGGCCACAGGACCTAATGCTGTTCCCAGGTGTGCAGACAACTAGTTCTTTTACTTTCAGACAACTGTCAACCTCTCTGGGTGTCAGTTTTCTCATCACCCAAATAATAACAGTGTTAAATCATGCCACAGGGTATGGAGGAAAGCAAAGACATTTATAGATAAAAATGTCCGAAAGAAGGATATTATGATGAATTTACTACTACGGATTTTACTTTTAAAATGGAAATTTCATGTTCATATAACAAATAAAATTCCTAGTTGTGTTGGTGGAGAAGAATTTCTTAATAATTTAATTTTGATAGCCATGGGTGTGATAATAGATTCAAGGACTCTGAGTTAGCAACTTCCAACTTGAAGTGTTTGGGGATCTGGTGTTAGGAGGCAGAGAAATGGCTCAAGGGGAATGGTGTAGGACAATGGAACCAGGTATCTTGGATGTAGGTCCTTACAAGAGAGATCAGAAGGATGTTTTTCATGTCTGGTCTCAGATTCTCATCCATAAATGGACCTGATGTTACCTGCCCAGTGTTTATTGTCAGCAATCTGACAATAATTACAAGTAGAAGATTCTAGAACAGTAGAAATGCCTTTAGAGTAAGGGAATGTGAATCTGGGTTTCCATGAAGAGCCTGCCAAGGCCCCGTGGAAGGCATTTTCACGAAGATCCAGAATGCATTGGAAAATGGTCAGCGCCCAGTGGGTGGTGTGAAATGACTCAGATATATGCCTTATGGAAACAAGACATTTTAGGAGAAGCAAATTTTTCCATGACTCAATGTATAGCAAGATAAATATAATTTATTTGAGCAAGTGGCACAGTACAGGAAAAGAATATTCATCTCACTTGGTGTTTGAAGGCTTTCCCTAGAAGCAGCAGAATGTTAGTGTCTCCTCTATACACAGATCTTCCTCCAATTGTGCTAGTCTTTTAATGTGTGTATATTCAATCATAATAAAGAAATGCCACTTTCTATTTTTTATAGCCAATCCATAGGCAAAATATAAAAAATTTAACTAAAATAGTAAGTATTGTCAAATGAATGGAGCAAAAGAGTGAGGGCTGTAAAAACGGAACAGAAAGTAGAGGAAAGAACTGGAGAAAGAACTCTTATTTAGTGACAGTATAAATTTTATCAATCATTGAAAGAAAGATCTGTGTGTATATGTAAAAATATAAATATCTAAAGATACACATGCACATATATATATATATATAAACAAATTTGTTATTTAAAGATAGATAGCACAGTTTATATGAGGGAAACACATTGTTGGCAGGGAAGGAAATCAGTAGATACTATGTGAAGTTGATGACTATAATGACAAAAGCAATAATGGCCCACATCATTTAGCTCCTTCTTTGGGCTGAACACTGCTCTACTCTCCTTCCAGGATTAAGTTATTTAATGTTTGATATATCCCAGTGATACAGGCTTGCATTTCCATATTATGGATAAGGAATTGAGGCACAGGAATGTAAATTTAAATATATGTATATATGTACATTAAAGTGGAAAGGGGAGAATGAGGGAGGAGAAAGAAGCCTAGATGAAGGGCAGAGGGGAACAAGAAAGGGGAATGGCTAGTCGGGGGAAGAAAAACAAAATGTCATATGTTTTCTCTGATCCATGGAACCTAGATTGTGCAAAGATTATTTGAGGAGAGGAATGGGACCAGCAAGGGAGGGATGGGGAGAGTATTGAGGAAAGTGGATAAGAGCAAGGTACAATGATACATTGTACCAATGTCATAATGGAACAAAAAATTAACCATAAAAGGAATAGAAACACAAAGGGATTAGGCAACTTGCCCAAAGCTACAGATAGAAATGATAGGAAAACTGTGAGTTTGAGCACATTTAAATCATGAATGAAGCACAGTATCATTAAGATGACGGTTTTTTAAAAATTGGAGTGTTAAAGACTGAGGTGGAAAGAAAAAGTTGTTTTAGTATTATTTGAATAGACCAGAGTATGGATAATCTTATAATAATAAGAAAATATATGAATGTGGACTACAAAGTATTCAACACAAAGAACAGGACCATCAAGTCCCTCTGCAAGGCTTTCATGAGAAAAATGGATTAAGTTGATTTGAGGGTAAGGGATAAAACTAAGATCAGTGTGTGGAAGGTACAGAGAGACAGAATCTAGTCACACAAAAAGAGAAGACAGAATCTAGTCACACAAAAAGGGAATTATCAGGTACAACTGTCTAAGGATGGAAACGCATATCAAAATCAGATGACTGTATGCTGATATACAGCAAATGAGACTCCAGCCAGAGATGGGGTTGGAACAGAGGCACAAATGGGCATCTTGGTCCCTCCCAAATCTGAGAATCACATCTCTCTTATCTTTATAGAAATGTCCAAATATAAATCAGAATTAATTTGATAGAAACAGCAGCTTAAAGATCATCTCATAAAATTCAGAAGTGCCTGAGGAGAATCAGCCAGATTTAGAACTTCTGAAAAATAAGCTGTGTACAGAGGCTCAGAAATACAAACAACATATACCACAGAGAAAAGCTTCTGTCCTTCAGGCCTGGGTTCTTGACATTTCATTCTTATCTTCAGATGAAGAAACATTCCACACTGAATCCATGGCTGAGAATAACCTCACCACAGTAACCGAGTTCATGCTCATGGGCTTTACTGACCATCCGAGCTGGGAGATCCCCCTCTTCCTGGTGTTTCTCAGCTTCTATCTTGTCACCATTCTTGGGAACTTGGGCATGATCATTCTCATCCAGGTGGATGTCCAACTCCACACCCCAATGTACTTCTTCTTGAGCCACCTTTCTCTGTTGGATGCCTGCTATGCCTCAGTCATCACCCCTCAGATCTTGTTCACGCTGAGCACAGGCAGAACAGTCATCTCTTATGGTCAGTGTGCTGCCCAGTTCTTCTTCTTCACCTTATGCGCAAGTACAGAGTGTTTCCTGCTGGCTGTGATGGCCTATGATCGCTATGTTGCTATTAGCAACCCACTGCTCTACACCATGGTCATGAGTCCTAGAAGATGCTGGGGTTTGATAATGGGAGCCTATGTCTGTGGGGTGTCTGGGTCCATTCAGCGAACCACATGCACTTTCTCTATCTCCTTTTGTGAGGACAATAGAATCGACTTCTTCTTCTGTGATCTCCCACCTCTGCTGAAATTGGCCTGCAGTGACACAGCAAATGCTGAGATTATCATTGTTTTATTTGGGAACTTTGTGATTCTGGTCAATGCCTTGGTCATTCTGATTTCCTACATGTTCATCATCAAGGCTGTCATGAAGATGAAGTCTTCAGGTGGGAGGGCTAAAACGTTTTCCACATGTGTCTCCCACCTTACAGCTGTGGCTCTTTTCTTTGGGACTCTCACCTTCATGTATATACGGAGCAGCTCAGGCAAATCCCTGGGGGAAGACAAGGTTGTGTCTGTCTTCTACACTGTGGTCATTCCCATGTTGAATCCTCTGATCTACAGTTTGAGAAACAAGGATGTGAAGGCTGCCTTCAGAAAGATCACTAGTAGATTCCAGGAGTCCAACATGTGAACCTGAGTGAGGGGACCTCTCCTCTTCATCAGTTTTCTCTGCTTATCAGTAAATATCCTAATAAGCAATGATACTATATGCATATTACACTCATGAACAGAGAGATGGCAGGCAGGAAGTGGGGATGTGTGAACTTTGTGTTCAGCCATTTCACAGGACTTCCTTTCAACCTCTGTCTCCTGTTGCTTTCTGATCCCATCACTCAGAGAATCTAAGGTCTCAGGGATTTTGGATTTTTGACTGCAGTTTTTGGTACTTTTTCCATTTTGTGTTTGCTGCTATCAACGTTACTGTACTTTCTGTGTCGAAGATTACAACGGAGGAACGGTGTGAATGGGTTAACTTTTTTTTTTGTTTCCTTTTTTATGGATAAGAGAGTGCTATACAATACAAGCTCCTTCCTTCACCATAACAATATCTTCTTTTTTGATTGGGCCAGAATAAAAGAACTTGCAAGCTGTCTTGATTAATTCACTGCTTTTCTGCTTTCTTTCTTGATATGTTGATATCTTTAAGGTAAACTAAGCCACCTTACTTATGCAAAGGTCTCCACTAAGGCAAATGCCATCCTTTTCTGAAGAACAGTGCTTTGTGGCTCTTCCTTACCTTATTGTCTTATGGTAAGTTCTCATCCAAGCATCCTGTTTCTAGAGATAGCAATGCCAGAGAACACATGAATATATGTGCGTTTCCTTCTAAGACTAACATCTAGATCGCATAAACTTTCAGTGATTCCTTTTGAAAGAAGTTTTGTGTCACAGGCATGGTCCAATTTGCATTTCATGGTCACTCCATAAGGCAAGAGAGGGAAGCATTGTTGCATATGCAATTAAGTAAACATTTCTTTAAGACTCAGAGTCCTCATAGAATACAGTGGTGGATAAAACAGGGAGTGTAGTTTGGATGTAAATCCTGCGTTACCACTAATTCATCATGAAACTTTGGGAAAATGATTTAATTTCTCAGGTCTAAAACAAGTACAGCAATTCCCAATTCAAGACATATTTTAATAATTGAGTAAAATGCGGAATAAGAGATTGCCTAGCGCAAACCAGGTGTCAGTGTAGATTGCCATGTATCTTTCCTTTTTCTTTACTTTCTGATGTCAACTGTGGGCCTTGGCTACAATTCCATAGCCACTGACAAAGTGAAAATGACTACGGACAATGATAGCCAAAGGCAATGGATTGAGGAAGATGAATTAATGGTTCCTTTGTACTAGGAAGTAAAAAACAAAACAAAACAAAACCTTCAATGTTTAAATATGAATACATTTATTTATGTCTCACATGGTCCAAGATAAATGGAACGTGTCTTTTTATTAGTATATATTAATATATTGTTTTCTGCCCCCATGGTCATTTTAAAGAAGTTAATCCTTTTTTTGACATGATAGAAATAAATTTAAGGATTATTAATTTACATTACCTTCAAAAGAGTATAAATATAAGCATTTAAAAAGTTTACAAATTCAAGGCCAGCCTGGTCTACATAGTGAGTTCCAGGCCAGCTGGGGCTACAGGGAGACCCTGTTTCAAAAAGACAAAAAAAAAAAAAAAGTAGTTTACAAACATTAGTTTTAATACATAAGTCAATACATATGTTCAAATATTTAAAAGACCTACAGACTTCCAGTATTTTTTCGTGTTGGAAAGCAAAAGTTGCCATTGGTTGGTTTTCTTGTTTCACCTTGGCTGCGGTACATTTTCACTTGCTACCTTTCTGTGCTGGATAGCTTTAGTGTCAACTTGACACACCTGGGTTGAGGGAGCCTCAATTGGGGAATTTCCTCTATTGGACTGGCCTGTGGCCATGTCTGAGGGGCATCTTCTTGGTGACGGAGTGATGTGTGAGGGCCCAGCCCACTGTGGGTGGTGCCACCCCTGGGCAGGTAGTCCTGAATTGTATAAGAAAACAGGTTGCACACAGACCAGGGGAGCAAGCCAGTAAACAGCATTCCTCCATGGCCTGTGCTTCAGCTCTTGCCTCCAGGTTCCTCTACCTTGGGCTCCCTGATGAACTGTGACCTGGGAGATGTAAGCTGAGTAAACCCTTTCCTCTCCAAGTTGGTATTGGTCAGAGTATTTTGTCACAGCAATGAAGAAACAAACTAAAACACCTTCCATATGGTCTGATTCATCACCTCACCCTCACATCACCTTCAGATACCTCACATTGTTTTCAGTAATGCAACTCCAAGTCTAGAGCAGCTACGCTCCCTTAGTGATACCGTTGGTTAGTGTTGCTCCCCTACACAACATCCTTCATTGAGTGAGGGAAGAGGGCATATGGAGTGGCATCCATGTACCTCGGGACCAGCATCAGAGCTGCTGCTGTCTTTAAATTCCCTGGAACTGAGGCCCTGGCTACAGTGTTACCCAGAGAGTCTTGGGGTGGCCAGAGAGGGACACTGAAGAAGTCATCTGTGTGGGACACTTGGTACTGGAGGGCCTGAGCACTGGGTGGATGAATCACAGCACTTTAATTTAGAAAATGTGATCACTGGTAACACGGTGGAGGAACAGGTGGACCCACCCCCTCAGGTGTCCCAAGCTGGGCTGAAGTGCTCACGGGCCTCTCAGGCACAAGGCCATCATGTACCTCTGAGCAATGGGCTTCATGGGGTTAGAATGCAATGGTTGCAGCAAATGTGTGTTAACTCAAAAACAAAACAAAACACAAAGAAACAAAACCAAGTTAATTCTTCTTGTTCTTCCACGTGAAAGTAGCCATTTCATTAGCATAAGCTGCCACAGAGCTTGTGGTTGATTCATGATTCACAGATAAGCACCTGGCCCACAAAACTTTGCCATGTGTATTGTGAAGTTGAAAATGTGAAAGGCATTCAGAATAGAAAAACAGATTGACACAGATACAGGATATCCACATAACTACTAAACCTATGGAGAGATTTTAGTAGTAGCCAGGGAATTTCACATTCAAAGCCACAATATGCTCATGGGATTTGTAAAAAATTGAAAACTACTGTGCCTTTAGAGTGGCAAGGACATGAATAATGAGTGGTATATATTTGGTTTAGCAAATTGATAAGATTATTTGGTATTTTCTTTTAAAAATCAGAGATACAGGCTGGGCATGGTGGCGCCTGCCTTTAATCCCAGCACTTGGGAGGCAGAGGCAGGCAGATCTCTATGAGTTCAAGGTCAGCCTGGTCTACACAGTGAGTTCCAGAACAGCTGGGGCTACAGGGAGACCCTGTCTCAAAAAAGACCAAAAAAAAAAAAAAAATCAGAGATACATAAAAGGCGTAACACAGATACACACCTGGTATCTGGTTGTGACCTGGTACACACACCAGGGGGACAAAACCCTCTTGCCCATAAATACCAAGATGTAAGCCCAAAACTTTCACAGAACTTAATAGCACAACGCTCAGAACACTTTGCTGTTTCCTTTTTCTGGCCTTGAGTGCATGTTTGGCTGAACCTGGGAGTCTTCGTTGACAATGGCAACAGAGTATAAAAAGGAAACTAAGCTGTCTTCGAGGCAAAACAGTGGATTAAAGGCTGATTGGGTGTGAACAGGTGAAGGGGAGTGCCATGTTGGGTGGTATTTTGTTTTCCATCCTGTTTCCACCTATTCCTTCTCTGCATTTAATTCAGACTGGACTTTATTCGTTGTTTTAAAAAATATTTTATTTGTTATTTTTATTTCTTATGTGTATGAGTGTATTACCTGCATGTATGTAGTTGCACCTTTGTTGTGCAATGCCCACAGGGGTCAGAAGAGGGCATCTGATTCCCATGGAACTGGAGTTACAGATGGTTGCTAGCCACCATGTGCTGGGAACTGAACCTGGGTCTTCTGTAAGAGCAGACAGTGCTCTTAACTGCTGAGCCATCTCTCCGCCCCTTGGTTGTTTTTTTCTTTTTTATGTTTTTCTTTTTCTTCTTTACTGGGAATTTTTTCCTTAAACAATTTCTTTTTCTAATCCCTTGATTTTGCTTCTTTTTATATTCTTCCTACTCCCCTCCTTTCTCTTGTTTATTTAACCTTGCTTCTCCCCTATTTCTTCCCTTCCCCATCTTCCTTTGTTATCACATTCATTTACTATATGCATACTTGCCTTAAAGAATCTTTTACTTCATAGCACTACTTTTGCCCTACTTTTGCCTTTTTTAGTTAGTGGTCATTGTTGGTGTATTAGTGGCCTCAATTTACTTTAGGTATATTTGTTTCTCTTGCATGATCGATTGTGCTCCTGCTGGAACAGTCTGTTTTCTTTTCACTGAATGGAACTGGGAACTGAGTCTTTAAGAACAGGCTGATCAGCAGGAAGATTATTCCCCCACCTACAAGCCAGAAGAGATTACTAAACCTATGGATACACAAATTATGACACAGAAATGCAAGAAATATGAAAAAGCAGGACACGACTCTTCCAAAAGATCACAACTTCTCAGCTGCTAAGCTAAAAAATACTGAAATAGGTAAAATCCTAGATAAAGATTTAGAAAGTTTTCTGGTAAGAATGATCAATGATCTAACAGAAAAGTATGTGAGCTCAGTCTAAACAAGAAAGTCGGCAGTATAGAGAAGTCAGGAAAATGGGTGAGTAAGTATGCTGCATTGAAGAACAAATCAGCAAGGAAACTGAGATTTTGAAAAAGAACGAAAAATTCAGGAAATGAAAACACTCAATAAATAAAATAAGTAAAACTAAATGCAGTAGAAAACATCCTCAAAGCCTTATCCAGGCTGAAGAAAGATTCTCAGGGATAGAGGACAATGTTGACAATATACTATATTTATTTATTAGATTTATTTTTATTTAATGTGTACGAGTGTTTTGCCTGTATACACACACACACACACACACACACCACACACACACACACACACATATATATATATATATATGCACAGTACATGCATGCAGTGCCCATAAGAGGGCACCAGGTTCTAGTCTGGAACTAGAGTTGTGATGGCTGTTAGCTATTATGTGGCTCTTGGGAACTGAACCTGAGTTCTTTGCAAGA